TGCTTTCTGACAGACCCTCACATGCCCTTGTTAACCAGCTGAAAAAATAGTCTCCATTGATGACCTATGTTGAAAAATAGTTGTGTTCAGCAGCAATATGAAAACTTTCTGTGCGGGTTTAATATTTTTTTTTTTCCAGTAATTTTGATTTGAGTGGAAAAATAGGCATTTCTTCCAGACTATCCATTGGAATTTCATTCTCAAACAAGTATAATGAAAGCGTATTTATATGTTTTTGATTTAACTCTAGCTGGGTCTTAAAAACCTCCAAGGATGGAGATTCCACAATCTCTCTGGGTAATGTGCTCCATGGCTTATCAAAAGCATGCAAGTATGTTTTTATTACACTCTTGTTTGAGAATGGAATTCCAAGGGTCCTAATATGTAACTTAAATTTCCCTTGCTGCAACTTGAGACTTGCTCCTTGTTTTCTCACCACTGAGAACAGTCCAGCTCCATCCTCTTTAGAAACCCCCCTTCAGGTAGTTCAAGGCTGCTATTGAATCCCCTCTGTCTTCTCTTCTCTAGACTAAATGAGCCCAGTTCCCTCAGCCTCTCCTCATGAGTCATGTCCCCCAGCCCCCTCGCCATTTTTGTTGTCATCTACTGGACTCTCACCAACTTGTCCACATCCTTTCTGTAGTGGGGGGCCCAAAACTGAACACAGTACTCCAGAAGTGGCCTCACCAGTCCTGAATAGAGTGGAATAATCATGTCACTTGACCTGCTGGCAACAACACCTACCAGTGCAGCCTAGTGTCCTGTTAGCCTTTTTTGCGACAAGGACACACTGCTGGCTCATATTCAGCTTACTGTCCACTGTAACCCCCAAGTCTTTTTCTGCGCATCTTCTGCTTAGCCAGTTGGTCCCAAGCCTGTAGTGATGTGTGGGATTGTTCTGTCCTAAGTGCAGGACTTTGCACTTGTCTTTGAACCTCATGAGATTCCTTTTGGCCCAATGGAATATTGCTTTGTTTATTGTTTGTTGCAATGATTTTTATAAATATGTTCAGGAGGTGTGTGCTCTCTTGGCATTTGTATCTGTTAATATTATAGCAAATCTCATTTACTACTTGCATTGAAAAGTGAAACAAAAATGCACAGATACAAAAAGTATAAGAATGAGTAGGTAAGGTCCAGTAAATGTTTATCCTGTATCTGTTTTTATTTCCAAGCAAATGCATCTTGTTATTTATACCATTTGAATCTATTTCTATATTCAGGACTTAATCTTCTTTTCCAGTGCACGTGTGTAGAGATGACCATAGCAGGCTGCAGAGTCAACCTGTGCAGGGCCAGGTCACTAGTTGATTGCACAGATAATTCATCTATAGGAGGTTAACTATTTAGTGGAGGAGATTCAGACTGCAAGAAGAGTGGTAAAATAACTCTCCCTCTAAAGGAGAGAATGTGACCACTGGGTAGCTGTGACATTTTATAGTGTTGTCAGGTTCACTTTTCTGCTACCTAGATTGTTGGACCTCTAGCTACATGCTGGGTCAGAGGAGTCAATAGTAGGATCTGTGAAATGGATAAAATAGCAGATATCCCTGTTGCTGTTGCCATCACCTTTGAACAGCCAGGTAACTCTAGAGGCAGAATGATGAGAAACATTCTTCCTTCTAGTTGCACAAGTATGTCAGGAGTGAAAGGAGCTTCATGTTTATCAGAGATAAATGGGGAGAAATTCCTGGAACAGCACCACACTACAAAAATCTTTCTATTTTTTTTTTTGTGAGAATTTTGGAGAGTGGGCCATTATTTTCCAGGTGTTGCTTCTGGATAATGGAGTCAGAGTCTGTTGCTTGTAAGTCTTGTTCTCAGGCTTGCCAATGAATGGAAGATTTCCAAAGCACAATGTGAGCAGAGCAGGGGAGAGAGAAATTGATTTCAAACTTGAGAAGTCTGTTTAGAGAGAGTCTGGGTAGAAGAAAGAAAATATATAAAGTAGGATAGTTGAGAGCTTAACAGTTAAGTGATGGGGGAAAGAAGCTGGAAAGAAGAGAGAAACCATAAGCTATTATAGGAAAGAAAATTGGAAGCAATGCCCAGAAAAGTTGACCAAAGCCAGGGGGATAGAGTAGGGCTGTTGCAATTGATACAGCTTATTAAAAAATTGCACTGTATTACATGTATTGCACTATTTCTCAAAAGTGTTTTTCATATTTCTCAATGAAAGGCCAAATAAGGTAGATGAACAGCTAGCTGTAACATTACTAAATTTAGATGCATATTTTATATAGAACTCAAGTCATAACAGTTTTACAGATGGTTTGAAAATGCAAACATAACTAAATGTTTTCATCTGAAGAGTCTGATTATATTTTTTAAATATAAATAAATGTATATTGCTTTCTGCCATAACCGTTTCCGAGTAAGATCTTAGAAGTACTTCAGGGTTGTTCCAGAAGTATAGCTAAGGATAGAGTTTAACAGAATACTCCTTTTTCTTCATTGTAGTCTGAAAGATTTCATTCCCTCTTTTAAACACAAAGTCAGTCACTTCATAGATCATTTCTCTCAACTAACATCTGGGGCTTAAATCTTCCCAAAGCAATGAAAAATTCTTCCTTTTGCTGTGACCAGCACAAGCAGTCAGTGAACAGAGGCCTTATTAGCAGTGTCAGGGTGCTACCAGCTCCCCCCGTCCTCTTGTCATTTTGCTTGTTTCTGGAGTCGAGTTGAATTGCAGCAGTTTGGCCCCATGAGTGTGACCGGAGCTGCCCTTATTAATTATACTTGCTGCAAATACTTTAGCATTTGAAAACTACTGTTTGCTAAGTATACCATGGAGGAATGGGATTGAGATGGCCTTTGTTCTTTCATATTTTAATATCTGTAGACCACTGTTACTGACATTCATACTTCTTTGTATATACACATTACCTGGTCTTAACCTGCTCAGTTTGGAATTGGAAGAGGAAGACCTGAAATGTCATTTGGTAGTGTTTTCTGCATTTGGTAGGGTTATATCCATTTGTTTCAGATCCAGCAACAAACTCAGAGTAAATTCCATATTTGCCTGTTGCACTTAAGCAACAGTGGACATGGCTGCCAAGAACCAGCCTCTGATTAGTCTCTTTCATCTTGCCCCTACAACCTCTTTTTCTGTGATAGACTCCTGGACTGATCCTGAGTTTCCAGAAATTAGGATTAATACATTCAGAATGTTTGCTTTTGACATTTGATATTTTAAGTATCTGTTTCTCTCCTAGCTCTATATTACTAATGTTAATACTTCTCTTTGGGGAACACACTGTATGGTTGGTTATTTTTAGCTCTAAGAGTGAGGATTTAAGTCTATATCATTTTTGAAAGTCAAAGTAACGGTCACAAAACTACTGATTACTTACCCTTGTTGACACATTACAAGATTTTCATTATGGGGTATGTTCATCCCATAGAAGAACATTTGATATTTTTTATTTGATATCAATATAGAGAAGTGAATTTTGCATTGCTTAATCTGCATAATGCCTCTGTTTTAAATCCATCTGTAATAGATAGCATTTTGTCTTGTTGAATCTAGTGCTTGTGTTTAGTGGATGAATGTGCTGTATCGTAGACGTGTGGGCAGGAGAGTTAAGGTTATTGGTTAAATATATTAATCTTTCCTTTTGAAACTCAGTCTCTGCATTGACCTCAAGAAATAGACCATCTCCTAGCAAAGGCTAGTTTTCATAGTAAAATTTTTCCAGAAAATAATTAAAGAACCAAACTGTAAAATAACGGGATAGTAGTGTTAAACCTTTTGGCCCTGCAGACCAGATGAATGGCATGGGGTTGAGCTGTGGGCAGAATTGGGCCCTGCGCTGGTTCCACCTGACCCTGCGCACCTGGGTTGGGCACTGCACAATCTCTGCACATTTCAGATCAGGCCCTACGCCATCCTTGTGTGATAGGATCAAGTCCCGTGCCAGGATCGAGTCATGGTGTCCCATGTGTTGGGATTAGGCCCTGGCATCCTGTCCTGCCCCTGCTTTGCATGCTGGGATTGGGCCATGTGTACCGGGATTGGGTCCTAAACCGCCATGCTGCCCGTGGCCAGACCTGTGTGCCAGGATTGGCCCTTGCCCTGCTCTGTACACCCAATTTAGTAGGCACAGATGTGCTATTGGACAGCAGGAGAGCAGTGCTACCCTTGCCACCAAGTTTTCAGACCCATGGAGAGTCCTGTGAGCCAGGTAACATAGCACTGGGGACTGTATTGGGGTTGAGCACCCCGATATCCAAAACTTTAGTGGGGGAAATGGTAGAGGGAAAACCCACTAGCAAGTCGAAAAGGCTTTTACACGTAGGATGTGGCATTAAGAACAATTTGATATAAAACATGAAGGGCATAACCAAATACCCATAGTCATTGCCATACCATCTTGCCTCCTAATAGTCACCTAACGTAACCATGGGAGGAGAACAGGTTGAGAAAGGAGATGCTCCCTGAAAGACTGTCCTAAGAGGGTATTGCACAATATGGACATTTTTGAGAAATTGCTTCCATGAATATCTTCCTCCTGCTCTTGAAATTCTGTTGATTTGATTGTGCTGAGCATAGAAAAGGATATATAGACAGCGCTTCCCATACAAGAGGAAATGTGTAATTAAACTATTGTTTATATGGATGGTGTGTTAAGATGCTGTGTATCCTGAATAGAGCTGCTGGCTATTCCTATCAAGTGCTGTAAATAGGCGTAGAGTAGGACTCTGAAACTACTGCAGCTTTGAACTCAGACTTTGACGTGAAGTTTTCCTGGGATTTTGTCAAGGCAAAGGAAACCTGAAACCTACACTGTAGCACGTGATTTTTCTGATTTGCCTGTTGTCAGGCAGATGGCAAACTCATTTCTTTTTGAGACTTCATGTTTAAATAAAATTTTGGTTCCTTTATAATGTTGACACATTATGCAAGTCAGATAGTACTAAGTGCTTTAGCAGATCTCTTGTCCTTCTCTGTGTTGTGTGTATACTCACAAGTGTTCATTTATTAACTTGTTCTCTTCCAGATCGCTGATCTGCAGCTCCATAAACTGGATGAACTGGACTGCTTGATCCAAGGCTTGCTTTATGTTGATTCCATTGGTTTCAATGGCCAGCCAGAGTGCTATTATTTTGAAAATCCTGCGGATCCTGAACAATGTCAGAAAAAACCTTACTGCCTTGATAATCCATATCCTATGTTGCTGGTTAACATAGGCTCAGGGGTTAGCGTTCTAGCAGTGTATTCTAAGGACAACTATAAAAGAGTTACGGGGACCAGGTAAATATACTAATCCAAAGCATAACTTTGCTGGTGAAAATATATCTGAATTTTCATTTTCCTTGAGGTTGTTCTGTGTAAGATATTGATTTAACTCCCTGCGTTACATGTGCTTCATTCTCCATGCGTCAGATTGTGGCCCTTCTCACCACATCTGTAAGACGACAGAATCACCTAAGAGTAAGACTGGAGCACCATATTTCAACTTCAGTGCCCTTGCTGCATAGGAAATACTAAGACGGACAAGAGATGTTAGACCAGGGGTGGGCAATTATTTTGGCTTGAGGGTCACTTAATGAGTTTTGGTGACCTGTTGAGGGCTGCATCCATCTTTGTTTCACTCCGTCTGTCTCCCTTTTTCCAGAACCCAGCTGGAACTGTAGTTTGCCAGGAGCCCCCACCCCGAAGCTCAGCTGTGGATCTAGATAGGGACTTGTTCCATAGTGGGTGGGCAGTGGCATCAGTTGTGGATACCACTGGGGCTCCTGAACCAGCTGGTGGTGTCCACAGCTGATGCCATTGCCCATGCACCACAGTGGAAGCCCCTGCCCAGGTCTGCAGCTGATGCTGCTGGAAAGAAGTCCTGTCTGCCCACCTGGCACAGTGGAAGCAGCCCTAGCCACCTGGCACCATGCGGCAGCCAGAACTGGAGCTGCTGGCTGTCTGTAGGCCAGATCCAGTGAGTTGATAGCCTGCCTGTGGACCATAACAAATCTGTTGATGGTCTGGAACTGGCTTGTGGGCTATATTTTGCCCACCCTTGTGTTGGACCTTGATAGATGCTAGGGAGCGTTGGCCATTATGGCTCATAGGAAGCTATTTTCTCCAAGTGGTGTTTTCATTGTCAAGATCAGTGTGGATTTCAAAGTGTTTGAATATGAAATATACCACAATGTTACTATTTAAATGGAAATTGGTAGAACTGAATAATTGGTTTTAAAGTCTGTTTTGAGGCTTTCTTCAAAGAGCTAGTGGTAGTCTCCCAGTCACAGGCCCTGGTTGTCAGAGTGAGTGAAGTCCCCCATGAGATCTGCTGGGTGGGCAGTACAACAATCTACAGGTAATTGCAGGCATTAGTAGGAGTGTTGCCAGCAGATCAAGGGAAGTGATTCTTCCCCTCTGTTCAGCACTGGTGAGACCACATCTGGAGAACTGTATCCACTTTTTGGGCCCCCCACTACAGAAATGAGGTGGGCAAATTGGAGAGAGTCCAGTAGAGAGCAATAAAAATGGTTGGCAGGCTGGTGCACATGACTAAGGGAACTAGGCTTATTTAGTCTGAATAAGAGAAGACTGAGAAGGGATTTAATAGCAGCCTTCAAGTACCTGAAGGGTGTTTCTGAAGAGGATGGAGCTAGACTCTTCTTAGTGGTGGCAAATGACAAAGCAAAGATTAACCATCTCAAGTTACAGCAGGTGAAGTTAAGGGTTAGATATTAGGCAAAACTCGCTAGGAGGGTGGTAAAGCACTGGAACAGATTACCCAGATAGCTGGTGGACTTTCCATCCTTTGAGGTTTTTAAGACCGGGCTAGGCAGAGCTTTGGATGAGATGATACAGTTTAATGGTCCAGCTTTCAGCAGAGGATTGGACTAGAGGCCTCTTCCAACCTTAATCTTCTATGATTCTGTGACTTTTCTAAAGTCTCACCTTGGGTCAGCAGCAGTTGTTTCCATCGGGCATCTGACAAGTAGCTTCCTGTGAAATCAGTCCATCTCTGGTTTGCTCCTTGGATGGCTGTGGTTGGCTGTTTATAAGGTCTGTTGCTAGCCTTGACTTAAGGATCTGACTGTTACCTGCTGGTAGCAGGGGGGTGAGAAAACTATCCAGAAGACAGGAGAGATTACTAGTTGGGGACTTCAACTTCCCAGCTATCTGCTGGAAAAATAATATCGCCCAACACAATATGTTAAAGAAATTTCTGACTTGAATGGAAAACAACATTCTGCTCCAAAAAGTTGAGGGTATGATTAGGGGATCTTCCAACTTGGATTTACTTCTGACCAATAGGGAAGAAATGGCTGAGGCTCTGAAGGGTTGGGAAACTGGGAATAAAATGATAATTTATTATTTTAAGACAAGGGAAGAATGAAGTTAGCAGAACTAAACCATTTGATTTCAACAGGGAAGAATTCAACTGACTTAGGAAATAGGTAAGGTCCCATGGGAGGACAGACTGAAGGATAAAGTGGCCCAAGAGAGCTGGCAGTTCAAGGGCACATTGGTAGTACAAGAAGCTATTCTGACATAAAGAAACAAGGACAGCAGGAGACCAGTATAGTTGCAGAAGGAGTTCTCTGATGCCTCGAAATCTAAAGATTACATAAAAGACAGGCAAGTCGCCATACTAAGAAATAGCAAGAACTCACACAGACAGAATTGGAGAGGTACAGTTAAAATGAATTATACCTGTTTAGGAAGACGAGAGCAAAAAGAAATAGTTCTATAAAGATGCTGGCCAGCTGTGGATCTGCAGCTGAATAGCCAGGGTGAGCTATAACAGAAGATATGAGAGCATGGAGCTGCTCACCAGCTATTTTGCCTTTGCCTTTGCACATGCACACAAAAAAACCTGCAATAAGAAAGCTAATGAAGTCATTGGACAAGGGAAAAAGCAGAGGATCATGATAATGAGCAACCATCACAGAGCTTTTTGTTTGGTTTGAATGACTAGATCAGTAGGCCTGATGAACTTCATCCCACAGTACTGGAAAAAAAACAGTGGAAGGGACCTTGGACCTCTTGGTAATAATATTTAGGGAGTCGTGGGAGATGGGTGAGGTTGCCAGAGGACTAAACAATGGCTAATATAGTCATCCTCCCTCCCCCCTTGAAAAAAATAAGCCCTGAAGAAGGAAAGGCTGCCAGCGTACATTGATTGAAGAACACATCGTGCCAAACCAATCTGATCTACTTGGACAAAGCACTGTATTTTCTTGAATCCAAGACAAACAGTTGTGGCTCCAGCCAGTGGCACAAAACACATGCTGCCTGCAGTCCCCACCCAAATCAGCAGCAGCAGAGGCAGTGGCTGGCACCTCTGGCTCCAGCTTCAGCTTCAACTGAGTCATGGAGCCAGGGCTGGAGCCAAAGCTAATGCTGCCGTAACCACTTCTGCTTGGCTAGGCAAGGACCAGAGCCAGCATGTGCTCCATACTCCAGGCCAGAGCAGGGTTGGAGCCAGAGCCATGGCTGAGGGTAAGCCCGACTTTGGTGGAGGGGAAGTGTGAGGAGGGGCGGCGGGGGGGGG